ACCGGCAGCTGACCATCGGCAGATCCAATGTCTGTCTGTGGACCTGCCTCAGGCGCTAATGGAAGGTTGCGAACTGCGCCAGGCTCGTCCGCATCGGCCTCGTCAGACGAGAGCTGCTGATCGACGAGATCTGGCGTGAGCAGGTTGCCAGACTCAGAACTGGAGGAGCTCTTGCGGGTGAACTCCGCACTGACTTGAGACATCAAAAACTGAAGCTGCTCAGGCGACATTCCATGCAGGTTTAGTGTCGAGTTGTCAGGTTGGTTACCGACTGAAACCTCATTCGCAGCTGTAACACTAGCCTTTCGCCCAGGTAATGTAACACCAAGTGTACCAGTGTTGTACCTAGCAGGCACCACAACTGGTCTCTGAGGGCGGCCCGTAGGAGGCTCACTTCCAGGAAGGGGATGAGGGCGTGGGGTCACCATACTCGGCAGAAACAAGGACAAGGCTGTGAGTTGAAGTGTCGCACAACCGATTTCTATAGTCGTTAACATCTGGAAAATGTTGACGGGGAGCTCCTGATTGGCGTACGAAAGTGGTTGAGAGTCGCGACTCATCTGGTCGAGCTCTGTACCTGGCGACACCTTTGCTGTTGCCAGGCGACGCCGTGGGCTCGCGACGAATCGCACAACCGCACTGCGATCATTTTACAAGGAGATGACCACGGTATAGCCGCCACGTGGTCTGGGACGATGAAATCCAACAAACGTGGTGACATCCACACTATTATAAGAACACAATATCATGCGCACGACTCTCCCTTCCCCCACCAAGTAGATACACTAATCAGGAGCCTAGAATTCAAGTGCAACTGGACACTAATCAGTGCTCAATATATACATGTTTGTACAACACTGCCATCAAAACAGAAAATGGTTAATGAACCACGTCTGGCCTGCCGAGTCATGCTGCACAAAATGTATAGCTCTAAGAATGGAATCTGTCTCTACTGCACTGTACCTTTGAGATACCCCCTCTAAACTGAATTGTTGACAACCCTTGAACTCATCTTACTCGTCATGGTCGATATAATACCTCACAAATGCGAATTCGCGGCGATTTGTACCATGGCCGACATGGAATTGTTGCAGAAATTTGCCGTACCACTCTGTTCCTGTACCTTGGAATGCAACCATCACCGAACCAACCCTTCTTACGGAATGACAGAACCGCTCGGATACGGTGTGGGGTGCTGTTAAATGCCTCGCCCGTCGCGGGTGGCATGGCCAAATCAACATGAATATGTACAGCAGTTACGTGCCACATATTGCATCATAAAGCTAGACAGTTTTCGCATGCATTTGTCAGCAAGGGTAGCCAGAAACTAGTGCAGAGTTTCAGGCGTTTGGTTTTTAGTGCACGCCACAGGCCAAACGTTGTCATAACGATCTGAAAATGATAAGGGGGTCTCAAGACACCACGTCTAGACCCCCCTATCAGTTGTAGTTCAATCCAATAAGGCTAGATAGGCTTTGCATGCATTCGTTTGCAAGGGAAGCCAGAAGCTAGTACGGAGTTTCCGGCGTTTGGATTGTAGTGTCCGCCACAGGCCAAACGTTGTTATGAAGCCCTGAAAATGATAGGGGAGTCTCAAGACACTGTGAACCCTGGCTACGGACTAGGATGTAGTCGGGAACAGTGTGAAGAAATAGTGGTAAAAAAGGCATCCAGACGTTGGCGCAGTGACATGTTGCGCACAGGCCTATCCTTGCACAATTTCATGCCAGCAAATGCACAAACATGCGTCACGTGCTGCGTAGTTGTGCTAACGAGTTCAAATCAGTTCCCATGGCTAGGTAAAAGGATGTAGTAGAGAACTGTGTGAAGAAATAGTGGTAAAAAAGGTGTCAGAATATTAGAGCGAGTTACGTCCTAGCCTGTGGGCCCGCCTCACGCTTCCGCTGCTGTTTTTCCGGTCGCGCGCCTCGGGCGCGTGGCGATTTTCGTCCTGTCCCGCCCCCGGGTGGCGAGTGACATCTTTTCTGCCCGTCGCGCGCCCCGTGGCACGCGACGGTGCCCTGCCCGTCGTGCGCCCCGTGGCATGCGACGGTGCCCTGCCCGTCGTGCGCCCCGTGGCACACGACGGTGCCCTAAACCTGCCCGTCGTGCGCCCCGTGGCACGCGACGGTGCCCTGCCCGTCATGCGCCCCGTGGCACGTGACGGTGCCCTGCCCGTCGTGCGCCCCGTGGCATGCGACGGTGCCCTAAACTGCCCGTCACGTGCCCCGTGGTGCGCGACGGTTCCCTGAGCCGCCGCGGAACCGCCCCTGGCGCCTGCGACGGTGTCCTGAGCCGCCGCGTACCCGCCCCTGGCGCACTCGGCGGTGCCCCTGCCTCACCCGCGCCTGCACTCGCTGCAGCCGCCCCTGCACCACCCGGCGCCTGCCCTTGGAGCAGCCGCCCCCGCTCCTGCACTCGGTGCAGCCGCCTCTGCCTCACCCCGCGCCTGCACTCACTGCAGCCGCCCCTGACCTACCCGCGCCGACCCTCTGTAGCCGCTCTGCGGCTTTCTCCCCGCCCACCCCCTCCTCCTTCGTCTCCCTGCAGCCGTGGGGGGGAGGGTATGGGGGTGGCGGGTGTTGGGGTGATGGGTGGTGTGCTTCCCTTCCCCTCCTCCTCCTTTCGTTCCCACTGCTGCAGCTGCCGCTGGGGGGGAGGGTGTGAGGGTGTGGGGGAGCCGGGGGAGTGGCACTGGGGTGGCGGGTGTGAGACCAACCAGCAGCCGTCCCTCCACCTCTCCTCTCTTCCCCCCTCTGCTGCTCCTACAGCAGTGTGGGGGGGAGGGGGAGGGGGAGGGTGAGGAAATGGAGGGGGTGACCAGCCAGAGCCAGCCCGCCTCCTCACTCTCCCTGCTGCCCCTCCTGTGGTTGGGGGGGGAAGAGAGTAAGGGGGTGGCAGGAATTTCTTGCTGTCGCCTGTCCCTTTGCTACTGTACCTGCTCTGTTACCGTACCTGCTGTTGCTGTTGCTGGTATACCCCTGCAGGTTGTGTTCTGCACAAACTCCTGCTGCAGGCAGTTATGGGGGAGTGTTAGAATTTATATGTAACTGCCTGTAGCTGTAGTTTAGTGTAGTTATTATAAACTGTTGGTGGTGCACCTTCTTTGCATGCTCTGATACCATGTGAAAGTTTAAAAAGAAGAAGGAGGGTTGCACTAGCAAGAATGAGGATACAAATAGCAAACCCTAGAAGGGTTGTACTCGCTATAGAGCACCCCACTACAGGCTAGAGCATAATATTCTGACAAAAGGCATCTTGACGTTGGCGCAGTGACATGTTGCGCACAGGCCTATCCTTGCGCAGTTTCAGGCCTGCAAACGCACAAACATGCGTCACGTGCTGCGTAGTTGTGCTAACGATGTCAAATCAGTTCCTATGGCTAGGGAATAGGATGTAGTAGGGAACTGTGTGAAGAAATAATGGTAAAAAAGGCATCCAGACGTTGGCGCAGTGACATGTTGCGCACAGGCCTATCCTTGCGCAGTTTCAGGCCAGCAAACGCACAAACATGCGTCACGTGCTGCGTAGTTGTGCTAACGAGGTAAAATAAGTTCATATGGCTAGGGAATAGGATGTAGTAGGGAACTGTGTGAAGAAATAATGGTAAAAAAGGCATCCAGACGTTGGCGCAGTGACATGTTGCGCACAGGCCTATCCTTGCGCAGTTTCAGGCCAGCAAACGCACAAACATGCGTCACGTGCTGCGTAGTTGTGCTAACGAGGTAAAATAAGTTCCTATGGCTAGGGAATAGGATGTAGTAGGGAACTGTGTGAAGAAATAGTGGTAAAAAAGGCATCCAGACGTTGGCGCAGTGACATGTTGCGCACAGGCCTATCCTTGCGCGGTTTCAGGCCAGCAAACGCACAAACATGCGTCACGTGCTGCGTAGTTGTGCTAACGAGGTCAAATCAGTTCCTATGCGACACTCTTTTCTCTCGCTAAGCAGATACACGATTTTGGAGCCTGTTACTTCATGAAACAGTACTTATATCAGTGTACAATAGATACAAATATGCAACACACGGCAATCAAAACAGAAAATGGTTGAGGAACCATGTCTGGCCTGCCGACTCAAGCTGCACAAATTGGACAGCTCTAAGGATGGAAGCTGTCTCTACAACCATGTACCTTTGAGAAACCCCCTCTAAACTGAATTGTCTGCAGCCGGTCAATTCATCTAACGCGTCATGTTCGATATAATACCTCACGAATGCGAATTCGCGTCGATCTAGACCATGGCCGACATGGAATAGTAGCAGAACCTTGCCGTACCACTCTGATCCGAGAAGGAGGGTAGGGGGATGAGAGGAGGGAAGTAAAGGACGCAAAAGGGCAGCGAGGTTGGAAGCATGCTAAGAGCGAAGCATGGGGCAGCAACCTGAGAAGGAGAGGAGAGATATGAGTAGGAGGGCAGTCACAGAAGCAAGGCCCATAGTGTTGAAAGGAAGTGCATCATGTGGCGAGCATGGAGAGCAGGATAGGTCGGGGATGAGTATGGGGGCACTTACACGTGTGAAGCATCTTTCAATGGTTGAAGAACGAGGCGCAAGACATACTGGAAGATCTGCAGTCGGTCAACCGACGTGTACTCCGCCGGAAACTCCGGTAACGTTGCAATGAGCGCATGCCCGTATGGTTTCCAGCGATCCTCATGATGGATGTTTCCCAATGACATATAGATGGGATGACCCTTGGCCTTTCCCCGACCGTCAGCTATTGTCTCATCCGACGAGAGTATGAGAGTGGCAACGACGTCGTCGATGCCAAGGCGATCCTGTTGGGGGGTTGGGTTGGAAGAAGGAGGTGAATATGAATTCGCATCCGAGTAGCTATATTAACATAGAGTAAGGGCATTGAGAGATAGGGATGTGCTGAGCACAAATGGTGGAGCGAGTAAAGGTAGGAGGGGCTGGAAAAACAGAGAGTGGTGCTAGGGGAGGCTTGGGAGAGCTGGAGCAAAAAGGAGTGGAAGGGAGAAGTTGGGAGTGGCTGGAAATCACGCAAGGAAGGGCAGGGAGAGAGAGGGAATGGCAGGGGCGATACAGTGGAGCAAGGACAGGTTTACGAGGGGCTGGAAATTCAGAGAGTGTGGCAGGGAGAGAAAGGGAAGTGCAGGAGAGAAAAGAAGGGGTAGGGACAGGTCGTTGTGACCCTGGAATTCACGGAAGTGTGGCAGGGAGAGAGAGGGAAGTGCAGGGGTGATACGGTGGAGCAACAGAGGGTCTACCAGGGGCTGGAAACTCAGAGAGTGTAGCAGGGAGAGGAAGGGAGGGACTGGAAAACCATAATGCGGGGCAAGGCGCGAGAGGGAAGCGCAGGAGAGAGAAGGAATGGCAGGGAGAGGTAGAGAGGGACTGGAAAACCAGAATGCGGGGCAAGGCGCGAGAGGGAAGCGCAGGAGAGAGAAGGAATGGCAGGGAGAGGTAGAGAGGGACTGGAAAACCAGAATGGGGGGCAAGGCGCGAAAAGGAATCGCAGGAGAGAGAAGGAATGGCAGGGAGAGGTAGAGAGGGACTGGAAAACCAGAATGCGGGGCAAGGCGCGAGAGGGAAGCGCAGGAGAGAGAAGGAATGACAGGGAGAGGTAGAGAGGGACTGGAAAACCAGAATGGGGGGCAAGGCGCGAAAAGGAATCGCAGGAGAGAGAAGGAATGGCAGGGAGAGGTAGAGAGGGACTGGAAAACCAGAATGCGGGGCAAGGCGCGAGAGGGAAGCGCAGGAGAGAGAAGGAATGGCAGGGAGTGGTAGAGAGGGACTGGAAAACCAGAATGTGGGGCAAGGCGCGAGAGGGAAGCGCAGGAGAGAGAAGGGATGGCAGGGAGGTTGTGGTATAGCAGAATGGGGAGCAGGGAGAGGTTGGGAGAGGCGGGCTTGGCAGAATGACTAGCAGGGAGAGAGAAAGAGTGCTGGACAAAATTAGGATGGTCAGGGAGGGGCAGGGGGAGCCTGGCATAGCTGAATGAGGAGCAGGGAGAGAGTGGGTGTGCTGGAAAAACAAAGGTCGTTGAGGGAGAGGTTGGGAGAGGCGGGCATGGCAGAATGGGGAGCAGGGAGAGAGGTGGTGTGCTGGAAAAAAATATGACGGTGAGGGAGAGGGTGGGAGAGGCGGGCATAGTAGAATCAGGACAGGGAGAGACGTGGTGTGCTGGAAAATTTTAGGATGGTTAAGGAGAAGTTGGGTGAGCCTGTTATAGCAGAACGGGGAGCAGGGAGAGGGAGGGTATGCGTGAAGAATTTAGGACGGTCAGGGAGAGGTGCATAGCAGAATGGGAGTAAGGGAGAGTGTGGGTGTGCTGAAAAACAATGAGGACGGTGAGAGAGAGGTTGGGAGAGGCGGGCATAGCCGGGAGAGAGAGGATGTGCTGGAAATGCATCAGGATGGTGAGGGAGAGGTAGGGAGAGCCAGGAATCGCAGAATGGATAGCAGGGAGAGAGGTAGTGTGCTGGAAAAAAAATACGATGGTGAGAGAGAGGTAGGGAGGCTGGCATAGCAGAATGGGGAGCAGGGAGAGAGGGGGTGTGCTGGAAACTTTATGAACGGTCAGGGATAGGTGCATAGCAGAATGGGGAGGCACTCACTTGCACGTCGTTCCAAAAATTGCCGGTTTCGGGGGCGTCATACACCCTCACGCCCCTCACTCTCTTTCTATGCGCACGTGTAACAAGCGGATGGCTAAGTCTCGGTTCACTCAACAGATCTTGTAGGGCCTGCAAATGTTTAGCCATGTCGGAACGAGGGATTAGTGGGGCGCTGAAAAAAACATGAGCAAACACTCCAACATACCTTCAAGCTATCACAGTACCAAAAGGTCAAAAATGCCTTTGTTCCAACGCGAGTAACCCCCTTCTTCCACGAACGGTCACAGTCAGCCACTCTCGATTGCACATGTCGGTACACATCTCGCGAAGATCTCCATTCCGCAACGTCCGCCCACGACGCGCCTTCATGGCTAAGAATCTTAAATAATCTAGATACCGAACGTTGAGATATACGCTCTTGGAGAATCCAGCGTGCCAATTCGTCCTTGAAGGAGAATGGAGCTGCGGGGCGCGGATTAGATCCGTTGGGAATCTGAGAAACTTCCGCTATCCCATTCGAGTCACTCATGCATGCCATGAATGCCTCCGGATCATCGGCGGCACGAGCGGCTGCCGCTTCCACACCGTCCTCATCGGCTGGCTCATCAAACGTAGGTGGTACGAATACGTTTTCACTGCTGGAAGGACTCCACACGCGCCGACATTGAGCGGGGGGTTGGATTGGTGGGGAATCTGACGCCTCTGCGCCTCTGGATGCAGCAGCTATTCTGCAAGCCGCACTACCTCTATGCGATTCTAGAGCAGAATACACGTAGAAAGGCCCCGAACTACAGTCTGGGCATTCCATAGTGGCGGATGCAGGACTAATTTCTGTATAGTGAAGGCAAAAAAAAAACAAAGCATGAGTGATTTGCATCAATATTATACCCCCCTGGTTGAGGTGATGTGAAGCGCGTGAACACATAGTTGTCGTGAGATGTGCTGAGATTCAGGTTGAATTCGAAGGGGTGTGCATTAGGGCGCGTCATTCTAGTATCATTCTCAATCGATACCCATCGTAACCGAATTAGTTGTTTATTAAAGCGTTTAAAATCGTGCAGCGTCGTATTGCACCGCATTCCCCCCGAAGAAAAAAGGACGCGCACTAATGAGCCGCGCATTTCACTCACACATTTCAAATCGCATCGCGTATTTTACACTTCGCGAATTTTGAACTTCGAGTGACGTTGCGACATTCCCGTTAGCCAATACGGTCGTTGCGAAATATTGGCCAGCGAAAAAGTGCTGTTTGGAGAACCGGATTTGACGCGACCAATAGGAAGAAACCACGCACTTCCTTCAAATATTACAGTGCTTTTTGACTTCGTATGACCAAGGCGTCACGAGATTTCAAGAACCGTGACACACACCTGCTTGCTTACGTACTCTAGAAATGGCTGTTTATGACCACGTTCTTGTAAACACCAGACACGTGCGTCACAAAATCTTCCCTCACGAAAAAAATGCCACGTTTCCTGCTTGCAAACACTAGGGTTTCCCCCAAAAATTGTACAGTCATTGACTAGTTCCGATTACAACGACAACATTACGCCAAATCGAAATCGATCTCGACCGCATGAAAAAAAGTTGGAGTTTGGGCCGTTGATGTGAAATGTCAAGGAGCGCGACACGATATCCTACGCTGCCACGGCTGATTCCCTGCCAAACACAAGTGAAAAACAGGCAAAACACAACCAAAAACGAGCATTTGCCACATCAGCCTGTGGATAGAAGTTTGTGAAAATGAGAACGAGAATGAATGAACTATGAATGAAGCGAGTACATATGGGAAACCCTAATTGTGTTGTACCCCCTATGGGATACCCCACTATAGCCTACACAACAGCATAAGCTATATATATATGTTCTGACACACCCCCATAGGCAAAGTGGGGGAGAACAAGGGGTCACAAGACCAATCACGCAAAGAACAGCAAGCTCAGGGTGGATCACAAAGTCACCACACAGTCCGAGCACAACGACAAGGCCACAAGGCCAGTTCACATGCAGGAGTGCACATATATATATAGAGCTAGACAAGCAAGAGCAGGTATATATATGTGACAGTACAAGCAAGGTCAAGAGGAGAGCAAGTGAGGCAAGACAGGTACAAGACCCAGCTGAGTGCAGAAGCGCTGATGGTCACAAGGCGGAAGTGCCTTGGTGAACACATCAGCAGTGTTGGCCTCAGAGGCCACGTACGCAAGTCGCAACTGACCACGCTGCTGCAGCTCACGAGCAAGAAAGTAACGGAGAGCAATGTGCTTCGTTCTGTGCTCCAAGCGGAATCAGAGCAGGTCCCCTCCTAGGGACTGTTCCTTGGGCCCACCGAAACGCGCCTCGAGTCGCGCCTGCCCCTTTTTTTTAAGCGGCCCGTCGAGTCGCACCTAGCGGCCCGTAGTGCCGCCCTTACGGTCGCGTCGAGCCGCCATAGCGGCTGCGGCGCGCCGCCCCTTTTCCCGGCCCGTCGCCGCCCTTACCCGCGGCTTTACGCCGCCCTCACCGGCGGCTTCGCGCCGCCCCTTACATGCGGCCCCGCCGCCTCTCTCTTCGCGGCCCCGCCGCCATCTCTCGCTGCGGCCCCGCCGCCACTCACTGCGGCCCCGCCGCCCGTCTTCGCGGCCCCGCCGCCTCTCTCGCTGCGGCCCCGCCGCCTCTCACTGCGGCCCCGCCGCCCTACTCAGCGGCCCCGCCGCCCGACTTCACGGCCCCGCCGCTTCTCTCGCTGCGGCCCCGCCGCCTCTCTCGCTGCGGCCCCGCCGCCTCTCTCGTTGCGGCCCCGCCACCCTTCCCTGCGGCCCCGCCGCTTCTCTGCAACGGCCCCGCCGCCCGTCTTCGCGGCCCCGCCGCCTCGCTACGTCAGCGGCCCAGCCGAGCCGCCCAACAGCAGCGCAGCCGAGCCGCCCAGCAGCAGAGCAGCCGAGCCGCCCCGCCGCCGAGCCGCGCTGCAGCCGAACCGCCCGGCCGCCGAGCCGCCCTGCCGCCGAGCCGCCCTGCTGCCGAGCCGCCCGTGAGCCGAGCAACCGAGCCGCCGTGCAGCCGAGCCGCCCTGCTGCCGAGCCGCCCTGCCGCCGAGCCGCCCGGGAGCCGAGCCGCCGAGCCGCCCTGCCGCCGAGCCGCCCTGCCGCCGAGCCGCCCTGCCGCCGAGCCGCCCGGGAGCCGAGCCGCCCAGCAGCCGAGTCGCCGGGCCGCCCTACTGCCGAGCCGCCCGACCTGCCCTGCCTGGTGAGCACAGCACCACTGTTACTGCGTGCCCTTCCCCTACTGCTTGCACTACTACACTGTCGTCGTCATGGCTACCCCTAGTGTCCTCGCTTTTGACGCTGAGGGTCGAGCCATTGACTTTGAGGTCTGGGTCGACGACCTGCAGCTGTTCTTACAGTGCGATAGGGCGGACGGTCTTTCCCTCTTTGACCTCACCTCTGGCGCCTCTCCTGCCCCTGCTGCTGATGCTGACCCCACTGTTCGCTCTCAGTGGGCCACCCGCGATGCTGCTGCACGTCTTGCTGTGCGTCGCCACCTGCCTATCACTGAGCGCGCGCACTTTAGTCAGTACAAGAGTGCTCAGACCTTGTACGACGCTGTAGTTGCGCGCTACTCTTCCCCTGCCACTGCTGCCCTTAGCCGCCTCATGCTACCGTACCTCTTTCCTGACCTTGCTGCCTTTCCCACTGTCGCTGACCTCATTACGCACCTCCGCACTAGTGACACTCGCTACCGTGCCGCCCTTCCTGCTGAGTTCTGCGCCAAGAACCCCCCCCCAATGTACATCACTCTCTATTACATAGTCACACGCCTCCCTGACTCCCTTCACGTAGTCAGGGACCACTTCCTCTCAGTCTGTCCCACCACTCTCACTGTCGACCTCCTCGAGAAGTCCCTCCTGGCGGCGGAGAAGAGCATCGTCGCTGTAGGAGCCTCTCGTGGTGACCCTCGCACCCCCATCTTTGAGGGGTGTTCTCCTTCCCCCCTGCTGCCCTCTGTTGCCTCTGCTGCTGCTGCCGACCTGCTTGGTCTTGAGTCGGTCTGCGCGGCGTCTGCCCCTAGCGGGAGACGCCGCCCTGGCAGGGGCAAGGGGGGCAAGGGCGCGGGTGGACCTGGCGGGGGCGGTGGAGGTGGCGGTGGAGGCGGCGGAGGGAGTGGGAGTGGCGGTGGGAGTGGTGGCGGGGGCGGTGGTGGCGGTGTCAGCAGCGGAGGAGGAGGCGGTGGCGGCGGCAGCGGTGGGAGCGGAGGCAGCGGTGGTGGTGGAGGTGGAGGCGGCGGTGGCGGAGGGGGTGGAGCTGGTCGGGGTGGTGCCCCGCAGCGTAGCGGCTCTGGTGGTGGCCAGCGTCAGCAGCAGCAGCAGCAGCAGCGTTCGCGGGACATCCCCCCGCCCCAGCAGCTCCGTGAGTGGTACACGCAGCGTCAGCGGGGTGGGGGTTTTGGTCCGTGCACCTACGTCCTTCGTTCCGGCGACCGCGCGGGTGAGCAGTGTGGAGGTGCCCACCCCACCCAGCGCTGCTTTGGCCGCCTGACGGACGCTTGGCGTCAGCAGTTCCCCGAGGCTAGTGAGATTCCCCGTTGGGGAGAGCTGTCTAGGGCTGGCGTAGCTATCTTTGATCTTGACTTTGATGCTATCCTTGCTGCCATGTATGCTGTGACTATTAGTGAGGAGGGTGACTGTTACCGGTGTTTCCCGCCCGACCCGGGCATTGGTACTGCTGCGCCAGGTACTTCTGCGGCTGCTGCTCTAGGTGCCAGTGCGTCTGCACTCTCAGGTACTGGTGAGGCTGCGCTCTCAGGTACTGCGTCGGCTTCGGCCTCCCTCACCTTCACGCTTGACTCAGGGGCTTCTTGCTCCTTCTTTTGAGACCGCACCACACTCACGCCGCTTGGCCGGCCGGTTGCAGTCTCCCTGGCTGACCCCTCTGGGGGTCCTGTCCTCTCTCACTTCTCCACTGTCCTCCCGTGTCCGGCTGCCCCCTCGGGCACCTTGTCTGGCCTGTACCTCCCCTCGTTCTCGACGAACTTGGTGAGTGGTGCTGACCTGCAGGATGCGGGGGTTCACCAGTTTACTCATGCGAGTCAGCGGGTGACCCACTGCTCGGACGCCCGCACAGGCCGACACCTGGCCGCGTTTTCGCGTCGGCCGGGGTCGAGTCTCTACACCCTGACCACTGAGTCTCCTCCTGTCCCTGCGTCTGGCCAGGTAGCTGCGTCGGGTCAGGTGTTTGCTGCTGCGTCCAGGTCTGGTCCTGAGTCTGCCCCCTGCTCGTGTCGCCGCCTGTCTCAGGAGACTCTCCTGTGGCACCACCGTCTTGGCCACCCCTCCTTGCCTCGTCTTCGGGGCATGGCTTCCCGTGTCCTTGTCTCTGGTCTTCCCCGGTCTCTCCCTCCCCTTCCCTCGGGACCCGGACCTTCCTGTGTCCCCTGTGTCGAGGGGCGGCTCCGGGCTGCCCCTCACTCCTCCCAGTTTCCCCCGATAGAGGCTCCTCTGCAGACGCTTCACATGGACGTGTGGGGCCCGGCCCGCGTCCGTGGGCAGGGTCACGAGCGCTACTTCCTGCTGGTGGTTGACGACTACTCGCGTTACACCACAGTCTTCCCCTTGCGCAGCAAGGGTGATGTCACTGAGGTGTTGATCGACTGGATCCGCGCAGCTCGTCTCCAGCTCAGGAGGAGCTTCGGCTCGGACTTTCCTGTTCTGCGTCTGCACTCTGACCGAGGTGGAGAGTTCTCCTCTGGCCTTCTGCGAGCCTACTGTCGTGCACGAGGCATCCGCCAGACCTTTACGCTTCCGGACTCTCCACAGCAAAATGGGATTGCTGA